GGTGCCCAGCTGCAGGTCCAGCACTCCCGGTGCAAAGTGCCCATTCTACCCTAGGCCCAGCAGGCCAGAGTTCCTGAAGATGTGGACATTGTGTGTGCTTCCTGTCCAGACAGCACTCATGTGTGAAGGCCCTGCAGTGGTTCGTGATGGCTTGGAGCACCACAGAGTGAAAGCCTCTCCGGCTGTAATAGGGGAAGTCTCCATGGGATGGGTAGGTGACAAGGATATGGATCCTGTCCAGGGCCCTGATGCACTGGGGGAATCCCAAGGTATGCAACCCCACCACCACCATCAGGGGTCATGCACGTGGAGCACGGTGTCCCCCCACATGGCCTAGAGGGCACTGCACACCTCTGGGATGGCCTTCCCAGCAGTGGCCTTATGCATTCCAAGCAGGTGGCTGAGGAACTGCAAGCTGGCGGGTGTGGCCAGCTTCAGCAGGGTGAGGGCAAGCGGGAAGGGGTGGTTGCATGCTTGTGTCCTGCTGCTCCAGGTGTGGCCAGAGCTACTTCACAAGGTCCTGGAAGGTGCCCGGGTCATGTGTAAGGCCTCCAGTCACTGCTCATCATCCCAGGTATGCTGGATGATGTGCTGCCACCAGTCCTACTGGGTCCAGAGGTGGCAGGGCTGGAGGCCCAGGATGGAAAGGGCAGCCATGGCAGTGGCATTCTGAAGCCTGTTGTAGGTGTTTCTGGTAGGGTCTGGCCAAAGGTCATGGCAGCAGGTGTGCCGTGGCAGCCTGGCAGATGGTCTCTGCAGATGGGGGAGCTGGGAGGGATGAGATGGCCATGGGCCAGGAATCAGTGCAGAGGGCCAGCAAGGTGGCCAGTAGGAGTCCAGGGCACTGGTTGTTGCTGCCAGGGGCAGGGACTGGAGCAGCCATAGCATGGGGAGGCAGAGGTGGCAAGTAGAGTGCTGCTGTGTGCTGTCCATGCGCTGGGCACACTTCTCCTGGCCAGGGAAGCAGCTGGCCAGAGAGCAGTGAGTGGGGCTGGCTTTTGAAGAGGGCTGCTGGCTCCTGGCAGCTGCACCGGAGCCTGGAGTTTCTCCCAGTGTCAGCAGGGACTCATTGCAGGGCCCTGGGAAGCGGGAGCAGATTGGCAGCAAATCTGCGCCCAGTTCCCTGCAAGTGTAGGTGCCTGCCTGTCACCGTTTACTCACGAATATTTACTCACAAGGAAACTGGTGCCACACCAAATGCATGTTTAGATGTGCCTAGTCTTGGCTAAAATATAAAAATGTAACAAAATTATATTTATATTGAATACCACAGTTCATGTTGATGTCATAATGCTAAAGCTAAATAGAACTTGATGCTAACTATATGTAGAGACTACATAGCACATGAAAACAATTTCAAGAAAACATGAATAACATTTCATGAACATCTCAAAATATTGTGGGGTGACACTATATATACATAGAGAGAAGGGGAGAGAGATAGAGAAAGAGAGAGAGATAATATAAAGGAAAAGTTTAGAAGAGGGACCTTCCTTCCTTCCTCATGTATCCCATGGATTGTTTGACATGTTGCCAACAAGGTATTCATGGACCTGAATCAAATCCAAGCATTCTGGTCAGAATGAAAAAGTTCTCACTAAATTTCTTTAAAATGAATTCCTTATTGTATTTGCTATGGTGACAACTTGAAAGAATTAACATTTTTCATGCCTTTAGTCTTGCAATTATCTCCTTAAAAGCCATGTTCCACTTATTCCTGCCACAGTTCCTGCTGACTTTCTGTGGGAGTTGCTTAGTTAAAGGCCAGATCCTACAAAGGCTTTATGTACATGCATCCCTACATGAACTAGTAGTCTCTCAGATATGACTGGGACTAAAAGAACCTACTTAGAACTTTGTAAGGCATTTAACACCACAAGATAGTCTTATTTAAAAGGTAGCACTATACAGTGCAATAAGGCACACATTACATAGATTAAGAAATTAGCTAACTCATGGAAGATACCTCTTAATGGGGAATAATCACTGAATGTGGGTGTTACTAGAGGGGTTCTGCAAGGAGTCATGTTAGTCCTAAGACCATGCAATATAACCAAAGAATGACTGCTGATAAAATAGGCAGATGACCCAATGATTGTTGGAAGGGTAAATAATGAAGACAAAATAGCCTTTCAGAGTGATCTGGATTGCATGATAAACATGACCCATTCAAGCAAAGCCTAGATGATGCAACCAAATGGAAGATTATACACTTAGGAATCAGTCACTTAGGGCACAGTAGCTGAAAGGGAAACTATGTCCTAGTTAGCAGTGACTGTGAAAAGGATTGAAGCATCAGAGTAGAAAAATGAATGAGTATGAGCTCCTAGTATCTAAACAGGGAAATTATGTCTAGAATAGGAATGTAGACCACAACTTGCAAAGCTGATCCCATGCTGGAGATGTGGCTACGATAGTGACACCCTGCCCCATGTCCTGTGTGGCTGCAGGCCCCACACAAGAGCATGGAAACTGCATTACAATGCCATCCAGGGTCAGTTGGGGAAGGCTATCTTGGTGTTGGTCAGGATGGTAGCTGTGAACCATGCCATCCTATGGTGCAGCAACTAGCTGCTCCCAGAGGTCATTGTAGCAGATGAAGACAGTGAAAAGGTCCTGATGATCAACACGATCATCCTGTTTGAGAACCAGTGGCAGGCTTTTACTGAAGCCTGTGAGTGAAAGCTGTCCAAGTACAGACCACTGGCTGATATGCTGGCAGAGAAGGGATATAATGTGACAGTGTAGCCACTGATGGTTGGAGCACTTAGAGCATGGGACCCAAACATCAAGAGCATCCTGCGAGCCTTAAGAGTACCCCACAACTACATGAAACTGATGAGGTGCTTCATGGTATCCAATACCATCCAGTGGCTGAGAGACAGTTACATCAGGCACATCATGAGCCATCACCAATATAAAGAGAATTGCCTAAAATCACCAGCTAGAAGCAAGACTGAGGGGATGGACTGAACCTCGTACACATGCCATTAACTGACAAAGACTCTTAATGCCTTTGAATAATCCTTGCTTCAGAAATTATACATCACATGTTAAAACCATTGTGTAAGAATGACTTTTGCTACCTTATAGGTCCGTAATAGTGTGGTTACCATCTACAGTGGTTTTCCCTCTCCCTATTGTAGCATGGCATTGGATCTTCTTAATCTTCTATACCCCAGGCTAATGTAGGCTGCTTGTCTAACTGCATGTCTCTAGACTGTATTAATATATACAGCTATATACCTATGTGGCTGCCATGCATAGGGCCTTATATTGTCTTACAACTCTACAAAGCCATGTAAGTAACCATGATTCTTAATATTTTATTTATGCATTGGAAAGACTAGCAGTAGAATGTCACCCATAGCTTTGGTCTCAACATTAAAAAAAGAAGGCTGAAAAACTAGAACAGCAATATAAATGAGTTGCAAACATGATCAGAGGATTGGAAAAAATACTTTACAGGGAGAGATTTAGGGAGCTCAATCTGTTTCACTTGTCAAAAAGGAGAGATAGGTGACTGAAATGTAATGCTTATGTACCTTTACAGGGAGAGAATATTGGGTTCACTAAATGGTTATTTAGGTTCCAGCTGTTCGTTCTTGTTCTGCCTTTTTCTACTAGGTTTAATCAGAGTGCATGTCTAATTCATTTTGAAAGTAAAACACATTTATGTAATAGATTAACCGATTGCCAAGGAAATTGATGGGCTCTCCGTCTCTTAAAGTCTTCAAGCCAGGACTCTGAAAAATAGTCTTTCACTCAGCACAAGTTATTGGTGTCAATACTAAGGAAACTAGGTGAAATGCAATGGCTGATGATGTCCAAAAGGTTATTTGGCCTTTAATTCTATCAATCTATGTTTGTAACCTCTGGGAATAGCCACTTATGTGGCTGGAAAGCAGAATCTATATTTATAGATATACAAAATATAAATCAGTTGCTATCTGTGGTCCTGTGAAAAATTGCTTACAGAGAGAGGGTTGTACAGATATGTTTAGTATTCCTTTTCTTTGCTTCAAAATTCTGTGGCCTATGAGTTAAGTGATGACAAGAACAAATACTAACTAACACTGCCTCCAGCACTATATAAAGAAACATTTTTATTTCTTATAAATTGAATGACTTTCATTCCTTACTGCTAGTTGCAAGTAAGTAGTACCGTGATTTAAAGCCTTTCTTTTCATGCTATAGTTTTCTGTCCACATAAGTAGTTAGCAATTACAAAGTGATTAATCCTGGTTAATTAATTGGGTTGCAAATCAGGGAAAAAATATTCTTGCAGGATCTATCCAACAAAGGAACTCTTCTTTTATTCCTTAGGGATACTCTTTCCCCCCTCTTCATCCCCTGCAAAATGTTGCGGCCGTGACTGAGGTGGAACAGTTTTTTAGTCTGCTGTCTCTCATCAAGGTGCTGTCCACATTGCAAATTATGTTGAAAACATGACACACATTATTTATGCTTCAGTCACCTTCCTTTATTTTTTCTCTCCGTTCTGATTGTTTCAGATGGGTATTTTTCCTTATATGGATCTGTAAAATGATGTTAGAAGCTTAATAATAAGACCGCTTATTTCCTAATGGGTAGAAGCAGATACAAGTGGGGAAAAAACCCCAGGGGGTTTAAAATTAGACTCAAAGTCATTGCAAGCCACTTGAAATAGGCATATTTTTCCTAGGAATTACCATAGGCACGTTCTTCCTAGGAAACTGAGTTTAAGTTTTGTTTGGTTTAAGTTTTTAAATGTGTTATATATTATAATATAATAATATATATAATATTTATATATTCTGCATCCTTTCTTCCACCATAGCAATGCAAATGTTGTTGCAGTAAGGAGTTTTAAAAAAAAATCCTTTACAGGAGATTCATTAGCCTTAGTCTGCTTTTAGTCTAATGGACATTCGCTGCATCTTCATGTTTACTTTTTGTTTGGGTCTCTGATTTAATATGTGTTATATATCTGCTTTAAACTAAGTAATTCTCTTTCTTAGAGCTGAAACATGAGATCCATGTTTGGCGACTGACAGCACAGCGTATTAACCCAGCCAGCAGAGAAGAAACGGCTGTGAAATGTCTCTTGATGCAGAAGGTTCTGACTCTGGAGATCTTGCTGAGGAAAAAACTCAAAACATTCCATAGGTAAAATTTGCACAAGATCCCTCCAGTTTAATTCTGTTGCAGTCCAGATTTTTTTTTCCATTGGAAGCACACGTTTCAGAGGAAGGGAGAATAATTTATTGGGGTTGCAGTTTATTGAACAGCTCTTATTTCAGTGTCATGCGGTGGGGTGTGGTCTCTCAATGCTTTGAGCAGTACTCTCTTATCTGCCTCTCAGAGTAGAGGTAAGAACCTGGCCTATGGGATGTGTTATGGCAATATTCCCTTCAATTTACTTTTTATCCAAGTAATCTAAAGGAGAATTAGGAGAGTAAAGATTGGTGCATTTTCCAGTGGGACAAGAGCTGGATATTGAGCCTCCTTCTGACCTTACACTATGTAGCTACAAGCAATTTGAGAAATACATTGAGGCATGCTGATTTTTCAGTCCTTTTTAGTCATTTTCTTTGCAATGGTGGCCTTCAGAACCTATAGGGTAACACATTGCTGCTGCTTGTTTCTCTAAAATATTAAAGAGCTTTTCAATAGGGAGGTGACTTTGAGTAAGGACAGACACAATATTTGAAGTGCTTCAAAATACAGCAGAACTTTGAAGCACTTAAAAACTGGAGCATTTCAGCCATGGAGAGGCAGAGACCACGTGTACTGCTGTGCCCCCTGGCTGGAGTGCTGTAAAATTGCAATGGCTGCATGCCAGGGGGCATGCCAGGGGTTGCTTTATTCTGAGGCTGCGTTTTCCACCACCCCCTGGGGACAAGGGGGACTGTCAGGGCTGAGCCATTCCGCCAGGCTCTTCTAAATAGAAGTGCTTCTAAATCATAGTTTTATTCAGTCTTTTAGAAGAGTAGTGGTAATTTATTCATGGCTTTCACCAAAACAGTACAATAAAATATGCAATAAAAGTTTTATATAAATAAAATAACATCATTTATATAAATTATCAATTTTACTAAAGGCACACAGTAAGATTTTCTGTTCTCCAGTTTACACAACATTAAAACAGAACATATTTTGAGTACTTTTGCAAGTTTTTTGAATCTCAAAGGGAGTATGTTTGTCTGCTATGCCTTTGAAACATTTCAAAGGTGTTTGAAATGCTTCAAATGTTACATCTTTTCACACCATTTGTGAGATCCCCTATTAGTAAGTAGACATTAATATCTAATATTTTTATACTAAAATCATAAATGATCATCTGTTAAATTAAACAGCACCACAGTTAAACTATTATGCTGAGAGTGAGAGAGATTTTATAAATTTAAGACTAACAAAAATGTTAAGCCAAACCTTTAAAAACTCCTGTACGAATGGCTATCAGTCATACCCGTGAAACTGAGTATAAATAGAAGTGGAACTAATTTATTAATTTTCATTGTTCAAGCTAAGTGAAATGTAGACAATTAAATTAACACCATGAAAAGAGAAACTTGTATTTAAAGTGTATTTAAAATTGTATTTTAAATTTTTTTTCACTAAACTAATGAGAGTTTTTTTAACAACATGATTTTAATGCTGAGAGCATCCACATTGAATAGTTTGATGAAGAGAAGACTAAGGGGGGATTTAATAGCAGCCTCATAGGTGACACATAGTGGCGCATGGGGAGTGCTGGTGCCCCCCACAAAAGCAAGTGCTCTGTGTTGTAGGGGGGCACGGAAAGTGCTAGTGCCCCTGCTGAAATTGGCTTTGCTGGTGGCACTTCCGCCACTTCTATGCCCCATGCAGCAGTGCCGGCAATACCATTGCTACTGTGCTGCTGGCATGCTTGGTGACCGGCTGCTGGGGGG